AAGTCCACCCATCTTAAATCAAACTGACTGGGGGATTCTGGGAGTTGAAGTCCACCCATCTTAAATCAAACTGACTGGGGGATTCTGGGAGTTGAAGTCCACACATCTTAAATCAAACCGACTGGAGGATTCTGGGAGTTGAAATCCGGACATCTTAAATCAAACCGACTGGGGGATTCTGGGAGTTGAAATCCGGACATCTTAAATCAAACCGACTGGAGGATTCTGGGAGTTGAAATCCGGACATCTTAAATCAAACCGACTGGGGGATTCTGGGAGTTGAAGTCCATCCATCGTAAATCAAACCGACTAGGGAATTCTGGGAATTGAAGTCTATTCATCTTAAATCAAACCGACTGGGGGATTCTGGGAGTTGAAGTCCACCCATCTTAAACCAAACCGACTGGGGGATTCTGGGAGTTGAAGTCCATCCATCTTAAATCCGACTGGGGGATTCTGGGAGTTGAAATCCATCCATCTTAAACCGACTGAGGGATTCTGGGAGTTGAAGTCCCTCCATCTTAAACTGACTGGGGGATTCTGGGAGCTGAAGTCCACCCATCTTAAACCAAGCCGACTGGGGGATTCTGGGAGTTGAAGTCCACCTGACACAGGTGTGCTCGTCCAGGGGGAGGCAACCTAAGCTCACCTGCTCCAGGTCTTGAAGGCGTTGCTGGCCCGTTTGTACAGGTATCCTTCCGTCACCACCTGTCCTGGTTCGGCCTGGATTTCGGGAACATCGTCGTCTTGAGACAAATCCTGGAGGTGGTGAGAAACGAGCATGAATCTGCACCCAGAAGGACCTTTAGTTGGCCAACAGAAGCCCAAATCCCGCTTCAGCTATTCCCGCTATCGCAGGAAACTCCTCCCTTGGGCCTAAGCCCCGCCCCTTCTTTCACAAGCTCCTCCCACCTGTTTACACTCCACCTGCGGTACTAAACCGAGATGTCCACCTGTAAAACTCACCTTCTCCAGGACCAGAGAATCGTCCACGTTTCTTCCGCCGAAGCCGCTACAGGCAGTCCTCGACGTACGACCATTTGCAACGGACTTATGACTGATCCCCGCCCTCGGAACCATTGCGGTGTCATATGATCAAAATGTGGGCCTGTATTTATGACGGGTTGCAGCATTTCGGGGGTCACCTGATTCCCCCCTTAGCAGCCTTCCCAGCAAGCCACATCGAGGGGCGGGGGGAAGCTGGATTTGTTTAATGACCGCCTTAACTGCTGTGATTCGCTGGCCAAGAAAGGCCATTAAATGAGGCACGGCTCAAGTCAACGAGGGAAGCTGGCGAGAAAGGGCACCACGAGTTGCTTCGCTCAACAACCGCGAGAAAAAAAGGGCGTAAAATCAGCGCGCAGTCACCCCCCACGTCTCACTTAACAACTGCACCGCTTCAGGGTGAATTATTCGGTTCTTATTGTGGTCGTATAGTGAGGATTTCACAAAAGGGAATTTTAAAATTCTGCAAATTTCAGCACAATTCCTTTTTCTTTTTCCTTTTTAACTCTGCAGTCCTGGATAAGTTGGAGGCTTCGCTTCTATACAGGAAATCCCCGACTTACGGCCGCCATCCATCCCAAAATTCCTGTCACTAAGCGAGACCCCCGCTAAGTGAATCTCCCCCCCCCTCCCCATTTTACCACTTTTCTCGCCGTCGTTGCTAAACGGCTCCCTGCCCTTGTTCAGTTAGTCACACGGTCGTTTAGCGAATCTGGTTCCCCCCCCCCCCGGTCGAGTTTGCTGGTTCGAAGGTCGCAAAAGTCACACACACACACACACACGGACACTGCGACCGTCATAAGTAAGAGTCAGTTTGCCAAGCGGCTGAATTTCGATCCCGTGACCACTGGGGGTTGTAAGTCTGAAAAACGTCCCTGTTGTTTTTTTCCCCCCCAGTTCGTCGCTAAACGAACTCTTTCGCCAGTTGGCCGATCGTACGCCACCCTCCGCACCTCTTCTCCCCCCCCGGCCCTCACTCAAGAAGGGGGCTTCCTTCCCCACCGACCCCTCCTCAAGGGTGCAGCCAAGCCCCCCCACCCCCTGATCTCCCTGGGGACGCCCTCACCTTCTGTTTTATGACGGCGTGTCGCTGCTCCATGTCCCTTTTCTCTCGGGCCGATTCCAGGACCAGCTCATGGAGCTGAAAAAACAACATGGAAACCTCAGGGCAAAGGGAGGGATGGAGAAAGCCCCCCGCCCCAAAAAATCACCCTCGTTTTGGCCAAATGGGTAAAATTCAACGGAGAGAAAAGTCAAATCTTAGGCAAGAAAAACCCCAAAGGACGCGTGTAAACCGGGCGAAACCTGGCTTAATAGCGGTCACTGTGAGAGGCATCTCAGAGCCAGCTCCTTAGTGGACAAGGAGCTAAACAGGAGCCAGCCGTGGGTGGCACTGCCAAAAATGCCAACACAACCCACAATTGCATTAACAGAGGGATACAATCGAAATCAAGGGAGGTACTAATACTCCGAAGCCGTAGTAAGGCCACACTTAAGAGTACTACATCCATTTTTGGTCCCCCAGACTATAAAACAAGATGTGGAGACTCTGGAAAGAGGGCAGAGAAGAGCAGCCGGGAGGATGAGGGGGCTGGAGGCTCAAACATACGACCGACGGTTGGCAGGAACGGGGCATGGCTGGTCTAGGGAAGAGAAGGACCAGGGGAGACAGGAGAGCATCTTCCAATATTTTGAGGGGCTGCCCCAGAGAGGAGGAAGGGGGTCAAGCTATTCTCCAAAGCACCCGAAGGCCAGAGAAGGAAGAATGGATGGAAACGGACCAAGGAGAGATTCGAGCTGGAAATAAGGAGGGATTTTTCTGACAGTGGGAATAATCCACCCATGGAAGAGAAGTTGCCTTCGGAAGTTGTGGGAGCTTCATCCCTGGAGGCTTT